AGCAGGGAGGGGGTCAAGGAAACAGGAGGTCAGCGCCAGCTTGCCACGCATCCTTGGGCAGCTTGAAGATCCTAGCAACACGGTGCCCGATGCTTTGTGCGGCATGAGTGACAGGCACTGTCGAACGAGAGACCCTATCCAACATCACCTGACCTTTATCATGGAGGCCTGCGCCTAGCTTGGCAAGGCGGTCGGCCTCGTAATTTCCCTCATAATGCACCCCAGCAAGAGCACGGCTGTGGGGACGAATCGTTGTAAGACGAATTAGGTTGTATCCTATGCCTAACGCAAGATGGTGGACCTCCCTCCACAGAAAGCAATGGACCGCCCATCCGCGGGTAGTGGCCTCGAAACCTAGCCGCCACTTATCAATCAACTCATGCACCCAAGGTTGGGAGAAGCGCGCGAACGGTAAAGTCGAAAGCATACGACTCCGCACCTGGGACGTCCTGGACCATGCACGGGCGTACCCCATAGGCCGAGGCGTTTATCCCAGGTCCAGAAAAGGAACACACGCCCCACCCCGACAATAAGGTGAGCGGTGATGGTCCACAAATACCTGAGCCCTCGCCATAGGCAGGCGAGGAGACGAGGGGGGCCTTCACGGGCGATCTCCCACGCAGGATCAGGGATGGGAGAGGAAGGGAAGTAGGAACAACGCGGGTCAGGAACCTGGGCAGGTGTCCAGACGGGGTTGTCCCTATGCTGTTCCCTACAAGACTTAAGGGCTGGCGAAGCGCCAAACCAGCGCCGAACATCTGACAGGCCATCGCACTCATGGAATGCGTGGAAGATCGGATTTACAAGGGTCAGAACGCACAGGGGGGCACTGGTGCTTAACATATATACCCCCTGGCAAAAAGGTACGCAAAGCGCGATGCCGGAGATCGCTCCAACTTGGCGTTTTCCAACTTAACAAGACCCTGGCGGGGTCTAGGAAAGGGGGTCCAGCAAGGTGGTGGAACAGTGGACGTCTGTCAGACGCCTGCAGCCAAGCCCAAACGCGGGCTGCCCGACTCACTAAAGCCACAACATTACGCGGGAAAGTAGACGCAATGTCTAGACCGACGCCCAATGCGGCATGCCAGGCTGCCGGGGATTCAAAGGACCATCCACTGCTGAGCAAGGTGGCCACCAAAATAGCACCAGGGCCCCGGAGAGAAGTCCAAGGAGTCTGATGGGTGACTGCGTTGATGGCCCCCTGCGAAACACGATCAATAACACCCTGAGGTGATAGGGGCATCCACCTAGATACAGTCCAAAGACGAACTACTTCGGCGCGAGCATCTAGGGCTGGGCCCGCCACTCCAAGCAAGACTCCGCCCGCGGTGACAGATCGGCGCTTACTTCTTCCAAGGCCAACGTGGCATACGTTTTGGATCTGCTCAATCTGGTGAGTCCTTAAACCCACTACATCGACGCCGAAGGTGACCGTCGGGCGAAGGTTCGCCCTGGGCCTGGGCCCCTGCACGCCGCAATCTAACAAAACGGCGAGCCTTCTGAATTGCCTTCTGAATCCTAGACTTCAGCGCTCTGCGAGGGCGACGCCCGCGACGAACGTGAAAATCGACGCTTGAGTTCTCGCATGAGAAACGCACGGCGCCCCCAAGCCGAGGAGTCTCAGCTGCGATTCTTCCGGCCAGGGTCGCACCCGACGCTAGGGGCGCCAACTTGGACTCGGAGAGGGGGAAGCGGGCAGAGCATGTCGACTTACCCATGAGAAGATGCGAGGCATTTGGGCCCGCGCGCATCACCTCGGCGTCAGAGACCAC